CAGATGAATCGATAAAGGAGATGTGGTCCATATATACAATGGAATACTACTCAGCAATCAGAAAGGATGACTATCCAACTTTTACATCAACATGGATGGGACTGGAGGAGATTATGCTAAGTGAAATAAGTCAAGCAGAGAAAGCCTATTATCATATGGTTTCACTTATTTGTGGAACATAAGGAAAAGCATGGAGGACATTAGAAGGAAGGGAAAAATTAAGGGGGGGAAATCGGAGGGGGAGATGAACCATGAGAGACTATGGACTCCAAGAAACAAACTGAGGGTTTTAGCAGGGAGGGGGGTAGAGGGATGGGTTAGCCAGGTGATGGGTATTAAGGAGTGCACACACTGCATGGAGCACTGGGTGTTATATGAAAACAATGGATCATGGATCACTACATCAAAAACTAATGATGTACTGTATGGTGACTAACATAACAATAAAATTAAATTTAAAAAAAAATACAATTCTACTATGAAAAAAAAAGAACACGTTCTTGTGCCAGGTTTTTTGTGGATATAAATTCTGAAGTTACTTGGGTAAATATCTAGGAGCACTACTCCTGGATTATATGGTAAGCCTGTGTTTAGTTTTGTAAGTAATTGCCAGGCCGTCTTCCAGAGCAGTTGTACCATTTTGCATTTTCACCATCGATGAATGAAGAGTTCCTCTTGCTCCACATCTTCGTCAGCATTTGGTGTTGTCAACTTTCTGGATTTTAACCATTCAGATGGGTGTCTAGCAATACTATTGCATTTTGCTTTAATTTGCAGTTTGCAGCTCCCTAATGACATAAGTGATGGGGAGCATTTTCCATGCTTTTTTGTCATCTGTGTATCTTTGTTGAGGTACCTGTTCAGATCTGATGTCCACTTATTGAGTTTTGTTATTGTTGATTTTTAAGTTCTTTGTATATTTTGGATACAAGTCCCTTATCAGATGTGCGCTTTGCTGACATTTCCTCCCAGTCTTTGGCTTGTCTTCTTGTATTCTTGACATCATCTTTCACAGAGCAGTTTTTAATGAGTCCATTTTTCTCTTTTATGGATCATGTTTTCAGTTTTGTATCTAAAAAGTTATCACCAAACCCAGGTCACTTAGATTTTCTCCTATGTTCTGTTCTCGACATTTCACGGTTTTGCATTTTATATTTAGGTCTATTACCCATATTGAGTTAAGTTTTGTGAAGGATGGAAGGTCTGTGTTGAGATTGATTTTTTTCTCCCCCTCACATAGATGTCTAGTTGTCCCAGAATCATTTGCTGAAGGGACTGCTCTTTCTCCATTGACTTAACTTTACTCTTCTGTCAAAGATCAGTTGACTGTATTTATGAGGTGTATTTCTGGGCTTTCTGTTCTGTTCCATGCATGTATTTGTTCTCTTTTTTGCTAGTGTCACAGTCTTTGTTACAGTAGTTTTCTAGTAAGTCATAAAGTTGGATGGTATGTATTCTCCAACTTTGCTCTTCTCTTCAGTGTTGGGTTGGATATTTATGATCTTTTGCCTCTACACATAAACCTGAGAATCAGTGTGTCCACGTCCACAAAATAATATGGGGGTTTGATTGTGATTGCTGTGAATGTGCAGAAAAGTTGTGAGAACGGACACGTTGGCAGTGTGGAGTCTTCCTGTCTGTTCACATGGAGCATCTTTCCATTTATTCACATATTTTTTTATTTCTTTCACCAGAGCCTTATAGTTTTCCTCATATAGATCTTCTACGTATTTTGCTAAATTTATATCCTACTATTTCATTTATGTTGGTGTTAACATAAATAGTATTGTGTTTTTGGTTTTTTTTTTTTAACAAAGTATTTCTTCTCTTTTTTTTTAAGAGTTTATTTGAGAGAGACAGAAAGAACACACGAGCAGGGGGGAGGAGCAGTGGGAGAAGCAGGCTCCCACAAGCAGGGAGCCTGACACATGGGTGGATCCCAGGTCCCTGAGATCATGACCTGAGTAGACATTTAACTGACTGAGCCACCCAGGCACCCCAATGGTATTGTGTTTTTAATTTCAAATTTCAGTTGTTCATTGCTGGTGTAAATCAAACCAATTGACTTACAGATTAACCTCTCGTATCCTGTTCCTTTAGTTGCTTATTTCTTGAAGATTTTTTTTGGTGTTTTTGTTTTTGTTTTTTTGTCAGTTCTTTGGGATTTTCTGCATAGATGATTTTATCATCTGCAAAGAGTTTTATTTCTTCCTTTCTAATCTCTTTTCTTTTTTGTCTTATTGCATTAATTAGGACTCCTGGTATCATGTGCAATAGGAGTAGTAAAAAGAGGACATCCTTTCCTTATTCAAGATCTTACAGGGAAAACATCCAGTTTCTCATCATTAAGGCTGTTGTTAGCTGTAGGTTTCTGCAGATGTTCCTTATCAAGTGGAGGAAGTTCTCTTTTCCTTTGCTGAGAGTTTTTATCATGAACAGGTGTTATATTTTGTCAAATGTGTTTTCGGCATCTATTGGTACACCATGTGACTTTTCTTGTTTAGCCTCTTTGATGTGATCAGGGTTACACTGATTTTTGAGTGTTAGACCAGCTTTTCATACCTGGAATAAATCCCATTTGGTCATGGTGTATAATTCTTTTTATACACTTTTGGGTTTGATTTGCTAATTTTTTGTTGAATTCAGTTTAGTTGGATTTGATTTTCTAATTTTGTTGAGGATGTTTGTGTCAGCATTCCTGAGCCATACTGGTCTATAGTTTTTTATCCTGTAATGTCTTTGTCTAGTTTTGGTATTAGGGTACTGTTAGCCTCATTGAATAAATTAGGAAGTATCCCCTCTGCATCTATTTCCTGGAAGAGATTGTAGAGAATTGGTATCATTTCTTCCTTAAATGTTTGGTAAAGTTTACTGGTGCATCTGGGCCTGGTGCTTTCTGTTTTGAAAGGTCATTATTTCCTGACTTAATTTTTAAGTAGATATTAGCCTATTCAGATTATCTCTTCCTCTTTGTGTGATTTTTACTAAATTGTGTCTTTCAAGGAATTGGTCCATTTCATCTAGGTTATAAAATTTGTGGACATAGAGTTCTTCATAGTATTCCTTTATTATCCTTTTAATGTCCATGTAATCAGTAGTGATGACCCCTCTTTTATTTCTAATATTAGTAATTCATGTCTTCTCTTTTATTTCTTTGTTAGCCTGGCTAGAGGTTTATTAATTTTACTAATTTTGTTTAAAAACCAACTTTGAATTTTGTTGGTTTTCTCTGTTGATTTCCTGTTTTCAATGTCATTGATTTCTGCTTTAATTTCTATTTTCTTTTTCTTCTATATTGCCTGCCTTTCCCTAGTATTCTAAGGTGGAAGCTGAGATGGTTGATTTTCTTTCTTTTCAGATATATTCATCTAATACTGTAAAATTCCCTCTTAGCACTGCTTTTACAGCATCTCACAAATTTTGATAAGTTGTACTTTCATTCTCACTTAGCTCCAAATGATTTTGATATCCTTTTAAATTCAGAAACTCTCTGGTGCATGGGCATTTGCCAGTGTATACAGCAGATAACTCCCTGCCACCTTGTCGTATAGTCAGCTCATTTATAAATTGGGTTTGGGATGTGCAGAAGGTTTGCTTCTGTGCTTATCATACAGAACTTACGGAGTTCTAGAGATATTCTCTCTCAGTCATCCATCCTCTTTAGACATAGGAGTTATTTAGTGTTCTAAAAAAAACAAAAACAAAAACCATTTTCCAAAAAAAATTTAAACATTTAAAATTCAGTAATTGTCATCTTTCTTTTCTCTGGACTTATAATCACCATAGAACCTACTTTTTGTGGCGTTCCTTATTTATGACTTCCTTATAGGTCTTTCTTCTGTCTATTAAAGACCATAGAGCATCCTACCATTTCAAGGTAAGAAGAAGCTCAGTTGAGAAGCCATCTTAGTATGGTGCATGGAGGACTCTCCCTGATGATTAATGGTCAGGCGGGTGGGCAGACTGAGGCACAGAGAAGCCGAGTCACTTGCAAGTGTCACATAGCTTGTTTTCTAACCATCTTCCAAACTGTATTCTGGATCCAGACATTGACGCCTCCAGTCTGTTTTGAAAAGCCCCTCTTCTGACTCTTCGGGATTGTGCTGTGTTGTCATGTTCATATCCATTATCTCATATGTGACCAGCACAGGCTATCTGATAATTTTGATGGTTTTTATGTACTGCGTATATATACTATATGTCAAATTCCAAATCCTATGAGAAGAGACATGACATCAATAAAAACGTTCCCTTATTCTGAGAGATGATGCAGCCACATTCAAACACTGTATATAAGTTCATTTCACGTGCAGTCCTTCAGAGAGCTGCCCTCATTCCCCCTCAGCACACTGATGGAGTGTTCCCTGGGGGTCAGGCCTGGCGGGCAGAGTTTTCAAGTCTAGCTCCCTTTCCTGCTGCTGGGGCACCTCTGAGAGAGAGTCTTTGCTCCAGAGCCACACACACACCCCACACGTGCACACACACACGTGCACATGCACTTGCACATCACTGAATCAGGCTAAGCTCCATCCTTAGGACCTGGACCTGAGACGCACCTTCACTCACTTTCCTTCCCTGGTCCTGCAACCCCCACATCTTTACGTGCTTTCAGAGCCTCCTTTTAGGTTCTCCTTCTAGGGACCCCAACCTAAGCAACCTTCTACTTGATCTTGTCATACCAAAAAAATATTTTAAAAATCCATGAGTGTTTTGTGGTTTCTTTTATTGGAAGAGGAAGCAGTCCCTAGTTAAAGCACAGCAATGGAAACAGTAGTGACCACCTTTCTCCTTTGATAATTGTCTAGAACATACGTACATACGGCTTTACCGAGACACCCAACATATATTTTATCATTGACACCATTGCATACTTTACCAAGAAATGAAGGTATTCTGTCATTCTGTCTGCTGGGACATTGGCAGTTCCCTCCTTCGGGTGTGTGAAGTCTGAAAGCATGCTGAGTGATAGCTAACTAACTCAACTTCGACTTTGATTCTAGGCTCCATGGTCCCCTTTTCGATGCGGATCTTACACGCGGAGCTTCAGCAATACCTGGGCAATCCACAGGAGTCCCTGGACAGACTGCACAAAGTGAAGGCCATCTGCAGCAAGGTAATGATGGCTCCGTGGTGACCTGTTCAATCCTCCTCCCCTCCCAACGGAGAGTACACCCCAGAGGGAGCGTACCACATTACTTCCTCCCAACCCACCCCAACAACCACCATTATCACTTCCCCCAGAAAGGGTGACCCAATTCATCATGACCACAGTTTTCTTTGTTCTCGCTAAAATTGTTTTGGGGGCAGTGGATGTTTTTTGGCAAAATTTGGGGCCTGAAATCCTTCTTCCTTAGTTTTTGTTGTTGTTGAGGAATAATTAACATATAATATTGTGTTTGTTTCAGGAGTACACATAGTGATTCAGCATCTATGTACATTAGGAAATCGTCACATAATAAGTCTGGTTACCACTTGTCACCGTAGAAAGTTGCAGCACTGTTATTGGCTGTATTCCCCATGCTGTCCGTTACATCCACATGTCTTATTTACTGTCCACTTGGAAGGTTTGCCGCTCTTAATCCCCTTCACCAATTTCAACCATTGCCCCCACTCTGGCAACCGTCGGTTTGTTCTCTGTGTCTCTGAGTCTGTTTCTGTTTTGTTCATTTCATTGTTTAGATTTCACATGTAGGTGAAGTCTTACAAGTCATACAGTATTTGTCTTTGACTTACTTCACTTAGCATAATAGCCTGCAGAGCCACCCATGTTGTCGCATTTTCCTCAGATAAATACCCAGAAGTAAACTTGCTGGGTTGTACGGTAATTCTATTTTTAATTTTTTGAAGAACCTCCATATCGTTTTCCAGAGCGGCTGTACCAGCTTATATTCCCTCCAGCGATGCACAGGGCTCCCCTTTCTCCACGCCCTCACCAACACTTGTCATTTCTTATCTTTGATACTAGCCATTCTGAGAGGTATGAGATAATACCTCGTTGTGGTTCTGATTTGCATTTCCATGATAGTTAGTGATGTTGAGCCTCTTTTCATGTGCCCACTGGCCATCTGTATATCTTCTTTAGAAAACTGTCTATTCAGGGCGCCTGGGTGGCTCAGTTGGTTAAGCGACTGCCTTCGGCTCAGGTCATGATCCTGGAGTCCCTGGATCGAGTCCCGCATCGGGCTCCCTGCTCAGCGGGAAGCCTGCTTCTCCCTCTGACCCTCCCCCTGCTTGTGTTCCCTCTCTCGCTGTGTCTTTCTCTGTCAAATAAATAAATAAAATCTTTAAAAAAAAGAAAAAGAAAACTGTCTATTCAGGCCCTCTACCTGGTTGGGTTTTTTAATATTGAGTTTTCTGAGCTCTTTATATAGTTTGAATATCAGGTATGTCATTTGCAAATATCTTCTCCTATTCAGTAGGTTGCCTTTTCATTTTGTTGCTGATTTCCTTTGCTGTGGAAAAGCATTTTAGTTTGATATAGTCCCATTTGTTTATTTTTGCTTTTTGTTGTTGTTCTTGCCTGAGGAGACAGAGCCAAAAAATACCACTAAAACCAGTGTCAGAGAGCTTACTGCCTAATTTTTATTCTGGGAGTTTTATGGTTTCAGGTTTTATATTTAAGCCTTTATCCATTTTGAATTAATTTGTCTGGTATAAGAAAGTAGTCCGGTTTCATTCTTTTGCATGTGGCTGTCCAGTTTTCCTGATGTTTATTGAAGAGACTGTCTTTTCCCCATTGCATATGCTTGTGTCCTTTGTCATAAATTAATGAACCATAAAAGTATGGGTTTATTTCTCAGCTCTCTATTCTATTCCATTGATCTATGTGTCTGTTTTTGTGCCAGTACCATACTGTCTTGATGATGACAGCTTTGTAATAGAGCTTGAAGTCCGGAATTGTGATGCCACCGGCTTTGCGTTTCTTTTTCAACATTCCTCTGGCTATTCGGGGTGTTTTGTGGTTCCATACAAATTGTAGGGTTGTTTGTTCTAGCTCTGTGAGAAATGCCATTATGTTTGGATAGGGATTGCATTGAATCTATAGACTCCTTTGGGTATTTTGACAACACTCTATGGTCCTCAGCACAGAATATCTTTCCATTTATTTGCATCATCTTCAGTTTCTTTCATCACTGTCTTCCAGTTCTCTGAGTATAAGGCTTTCACCTTCTTGGCTAAATTTACTCCTAGATATTTTATTCTTTTTGACGTAGTTGTAAATGGGATTATTTTCTTAATTTCTCTTTCTGATAGTCTGTTATTGTATACAAATACAACAGATTTCTGTATATTGATTTTGTATCCTGCAACTTTAATTAATTCATTTATTGGGTCTAATAGTTTTGGGGTGATGCTTTAGGGTTTTCTGTATACAGTATCATCTGTACTTCCTTCCTAATTTGGATGCCTTTTATTTCTTGTCTGATTGCTGCACCTGGGACTTCCAATAATAGGTTGAATAAAAGTAGCAAGAGTGGGCATCTTTAACTTGTTCCTGCTCTTAGAGAAAATGTTTTCAATCTTTTAGCGTTGAGTATGTTAGCTATGGGCTTGTCATATATGGCCTTCATCATGATGAGGTATATTCCCTCTATATCCACCTCATTGAGAGTTTTTATCATAAATAGACATTGTGTCAGATGCTTTTTCTGCATCTATGGGGATATCATAGGATTTTTATTCCTCATTTTGTTAATGTGGTATATCACATTGATTGATTTGGGGATATTGAACCATCCTTGCATCCCTGGACTATATCCCACTTGATCATGGTGTGTGATCCTTTTATTGTATAGCTGAATTCAGTTTGCTAATACTTTGTTGAGGAATTTGGCATCTGTGTTCATCAGGGATGTTGGCCTGAGATTTTCTTTATTTTTTATTGTTTTCCTAGTGTCTTTGTCTGATTTTGGTATCAGGGTAATTCTGGCCTCGTAGAATGAGCTTGGAAGCTTTCCTTCCTCTTCAATTTTATGGAATTGCTTGAGAAGGACAGGTGTTTACTCTTTTTAAAATGTTTGGTAAAATACACCTGTGAAGCCATCTGATCCTAGACTTCTGTTTGTTGGGAGTTTTTTGATTACTGATTCAATTTCATTACTAGTAATTGGTCTAGTATTTCTTCCTTATTCAGTCTTGGAGGAGTATGTTTTAGGAATTTATCCACTTCATCTAGGTTGTCTAGTTTGCTGGCATGTAACACTTCTTTAGTATTATTGGTGGATTCAAAGCAGGGAAATACTCTGTTGTGTAAAAATCATATGCCCTTAAATGTGGCAGACCATTCTCCCATCCTGCAAATACTACAAGCACCTGCCTCATGTCTTACAGAGGCACTGGAACAATATTTAAAGAGATAATGGTTTAAAATGTTCCAGAATCAAAGCAAATTCTATTGTATAATGACAACGGTCCTTCGTAATACTGTCTGCAAAGGCAGATAAGGTTCGGAAGTGCTTTCTGAATTGTTCTTGGTTGGGAAATAACAGTTATGTGGAAGGCACCAAGCTGCATCAACAAAAGACCAAATCATTCCATTTAGTGATATTTGGAGGAAATATGGGATCTATAGAGTCTCCCCATCGCCAGGCTGTGGGCACCCCCGCCTCCCAGACTTCTCGTCCTTAGGATGGAAGTGCAGTGCCTTTCCTGCCTGCCTCGCGGTGCTGCTGTGTGGGTTGGGCGACGCCATGTCTGTGGAGGGCTTTCCGAACTATGACAACAAGCGGTGAGGTTGGGAGCAGCACGTTAGCGCTCTTTTTAAATGAGATTAGATTCGTCCAGCTCGTCCTTTCTGTTTCCAGTTACTCCTGATGGGGGTTCTGTGGAGGTTTCCCAGGATGGTGGTGTCCTCGGGACTAGCAGCAGGGAGGTAGGTGGGCTCCTCCCTGCACAGAATGCACCTCATTCAAGCACGAGCAGATGTCCTGGGCATCTTACACCCTCCAGCTTTGTACCAGCTCCTGGTTTCTAGAACTTCAGAGACAAACGGAAAACGTATTTTCTTTCTTACACACTGATGAGTTGACGGGGAAATTGTGTTAGCCAACATTTTTTTAGATTCTAACACTTTTTTCCTTGATCCCTGAAACCCAGTTAAGGTAGAATTATATTCAGAAATAAGAAACACATAACTTGTTACTGAGAAATGTGAAGTCAGTGATTTTCTACACTGTACGCAGATGATCTGCCTCCATATGTACCTGAGAGGAAATGCCTAGTGTTACAGGGACTTGAGGGTCGGAGAGAGACAGGAGTTCTGCAGGTCAGTTTTCCAGCGCTGAGGCGCCCTGTATCTTCAGTATCGAGCTCCGTAGCTCGGGAGGCAGGGTCACGGTGGGAGGTGAGGGCGGGTCTTCCACCACCACGGCTCTAGGCTACTCGTACTCCTTCTACTGAACATGTCGTGTTCACCAGGAACCAGCCTCTGGTCCCAAGCATTTTTCAAATATTAGCTCATTTAATCCTTACACAAACCCTATAACTAGGGGTTCTGTTAGGCCAGTTTACAGCTGAGTGAACTGAGGCACAGAGAGGCTGGCTAACTTGCCTGTGATCACGTGACCTGACCCAGGTTGTCTGGCTCTGGAGTTCATGCTCCAAATCACGCGCCTGCCCAGCGTCTTTGCTCCGTCCAGCAGGAGCACGTCTTCCTGTGTCTGAAGTGGCCTCTCGCACAGGCCGATCCTGGAGATGGGGTCATGCCTGTGCTCCGTTGCACCAGCTCCCTCCTCAGACCCCGGTGGCCAGGTGATGGCAGCTGACCGCTCAGCCTGGGTGGGAGAGGGAAACCAGGTCTCACACCATCACACCACGGGAGCATCTCTCTCAACGCTGACACGGCTCGGAGGGTGACAAGACAGAAATAGTGTAGGGACCCGTTGCCAGTGCGTGCGTGTGACGTGAGTCTCCCCGGTGTCACCTGCTTCTCACCGTATGAACACCCCACCGCACGTCACGGACGTCATGGCCTCTCGTATGGCGCGACCCAGATGGAAGTCCGTCCTTCTCCTGGTGCTTCACTGATGACACGGCAGGTGGTTCTCATTCTGGAAGAAAGACAAGCAGTTGGTCCTGGAAGAGAGAGTGTGTTGGTCTCTGGCCAAAAGGGTG